AACAAATATGGAATGTGTTTTTAATTCCCTGGTGAAGTTTTTATAATATTTCCATTCCTGCCTTTATGGAGACTTCAGAGATGTATTTCACCTCTCAGGCAATGATGGAACTCTTAATATTTCCTTCTATTGCTAGAGCTGGGGCGAGATGAGGTGAAGGAAGTTGGCTGCCTGGGGAAATAGCATCATAAAACATGGAGACTCAGCTCATGTTCTAGTCCGTGGTATTTTGAAAGCCTCTATTATCATAGCACAGCATAGTTGTACTTAGCACACTATTGAAATTCATAGACACAAAGGCAAGAATGTAGGAAATAGTCAACGGGGGAATAAGGTTGCTTTTCATTTTATATCTCAGCCTTACCCATACTTAAATATCGCCTTTCTTTTTTTCATTTCTTAATCTTCATACAAATGTTTTGAATGACAGAACAATTAGAAGGAAACCAGATTGCAGTATCTATATCTGTCACTATAACTACACCCTGGCAGACATAAATTCCCTCTGATTTTTCTGCAGTGTATTACCTGAGAAGTAAGCTAAATCTTAACCCAATTTTTTTTCCCATGTAGCAGTGTATTGGAACAAATTCCTTCATCCTATCTGAAGGTTACATTTTTTTTCCTACTGTATGGTAGATTTTTAATGGATAAAATTCTACTTAGTTTGTTACAAAAAGCTTATATATTTAAAAAAACACAACGTGGGATGGGTGACACAGGCAGCTGTGCTGCACAGTGGACTGTGTGAAATGGCTTAGGAATATCCAGTTAATTTCAGAGAAAATGAAGACCAGTGTCCAGGACTATGAAAATACCAATGCTCTCTCTGGATCACTAGTCTCAGTCCATTTTCCAAAGGCCATTGCTCCATTGGCTGTTGTAGCTTCTATGATGCCAAAGTATATTTTTCTCAGCTTTCATACCTAATATTCTGACAGCCCTGCAAATTGAGTTAAATAAAATATTTTGGTACAAATAGATGATTCTTAATCCACTGGCACCAAAATTAAGGTGAGCATTTTTATATGAACTATATTAGTACATGTGAACTCAGAAATATTTGGCTTCAGGAACTAACACAAGATGACCTTTTTTGTGTGCCTTAATTAGCTGATTTAAATTTGTCCTAGGTTTTAAGGAAAAATCCATCTTCCTCATTTTCCACTTCTCATCAAGACATAAATTAAGGCTGGTTGTTCTAGTTGTTGAGAGAATAAAGGTGAGTACATTTAGACATAGCAAAAGCAATGGGTCTGAAAACTGCTCATCAGACATCAGTGTACATAATGAACATTTTTGACCCTGCCAGTTGCATGCCCATAACTAAAGAGCTTTTCTCAGTTATCCAATTAAGAAGATAACAACTGTTCATAATTATAGATATATCTGATGCATCATCAGCCCCTTTCTTCTTTAGTTGAAAATATGTGTCATCTTGATGTCTCTCTGTTGCTTTGAATTGAATGAGCGCTTATGTGTTAGCCTTAATCAATATTTCCTACCCCTTTCCCAGGAAATGGCAAATAGAATTTCCAGGCACTTTATCTTACTGCAGAGATCTCAACTATCAGCTGCAGCAGGAACATTAGTGCTCAGTAAATTGGTGCAGATGGCCACAGCACTGATTCTACCACTTCATTCAGCAGAGTTCTGCAGTCTGGGGCTGGAACACAGATGTCAGACCAGGGGCTTGGTTGGTATTTGCTTGTGTTGCTCTCCATTACCATTCTCTCTCTCTCTCTCTCTCTCTCTCTCTCTCTCTTCTCTTTCTCTCTCTCTCTTCCTGTTTTTCATGGATCATTTCATGAATTTACTACCAAGAATTTACATGCTTAGAGCCAAAGATATGGCTCATATATTCAGCAATGGTTTTTAAATATGCATTGATTTCTATATTACTTAGTTGTTTTCCCCCAGAATATTCTAGATACAATAAAAATAAAACTAGAAATTACAAATTGAAAAACATTGTTGCGGAGTAAAGAATGCAAGTTATAAAAAAAAAGCAGTCCCTAATTATAAGGGAGAGATCCAGTAATTTGGAGAGTAGGAGGTACACATTTTAAAAGAAGTGAAATTTTCAAAAGATTACTTCCCATTTAGGGAATTCCTGCCTAATCTAGATGCAACTATTGATCAAACTATTATTTTTAAGCAAGATAAAGTGACAAAAATCATTTTGTAAGGGAATAGAGGGGAGTATAATGCTAATATCCAAGTAATGCTTTCCACAATATGGGGAAAAATAACTTTCAAATGAGTATCAAAAAGTCATTTTTCCCCTCTCAGCATTTTATTCAAGAAAAAAAATCTCCCCTGGGCGCTGTGACGTGTTTGAATATAATAGAGCTAAGTGGGGGACAGGTTTTTTTTATAGAAACGACTGACAGAGGTATTAGCCACAACCAAAGCATCACAAGTAAGCTCTAAAGATGTGGAAATGTGGGCTGGGGGTTAATCACCCGCAGACTTTCTTAATTCTGCTAAGCTTTTTGAATACTTTCCATGTAGATCAGTGGTTCTCAACCTGTGGGTCGCGACCCCTTGGGAGTTGACTGACCCTTTCACAGGGGTCGCCTAAGACCATCAGAAAACACATATATAATTACATATTGTTTTGTGATTAATCACTATGCTTTAATTATGTTCAATTTGTAACAATGAAAATACATCCTGCATATCAGATATTTACACTACATAACAGTAGCAGAATTACAGTTATGAAGTGGCAACGAAAATAATTTTATGGTTGAGGGTCACCACAACATGAGAAACTGTATTAAAGGGTCACGGCATTAGGAAGGTTGAGAACCACTGAAGTAGGTCATTCAATCCAATGCTGCCCTCAAGTACGGCAACATGAAGAGTATGCTTCACATTCTATTGCCAACCAGAGTGCAGATCCAATGACAGCAGTGATGAAATCATATCAGTTTGTACAAGATTCTGTCTCATTGTCTCTGTGGCTGCAGCCCAAGTGAAGGAACAAATTCTGTCTTCAAGGGTTTCCTGGAGGGTGTAAGAGCCTGATCGATGTGAAAATTTTAAGCACTTACGCTAAGCACTTTAGGTCAGTAAGTCTGAGTTGTAACATTGATACTAAGTGATAAGAGTAGTGAAATGTTTAGTCCAGGAAGCCTTCCTTAAAACCATTCATAGTATTTAATACTCGTTAGATATGTTATAAGATTATTTAAATTTTGGACTTTAAAATGTTATTGCTTTTGTATCTAAAAGAAATTGATCAGAAATGTAGATGCAAATTAAATCGAATATTTTTAGTTTAAAATTTGGTGCAATACATGAAGGTGATTTTACAGGAAATGAAGGACAGGACAGCATTTTATGACAAGGACTCATATAGATGAAATGTGTCTGCTCCCAAGTCATGCTTGAAAAATCATACACAAAAAAAAACCACATTTCCTGTGTTACTACAATTTCTAACAGTAAATATTTATTTTACAACTGGATGAAGCTAGTTACATTTACCTAAATATTTGAGTTCCAGCCATTGTTTGAAAAGAACAATTAGAGCATATGGGTCTCTGAAACTATTAAGGAGGTTCCCCTCTTAGTCCATGTTGCCATGGAAGAAGGCCAATCTTGACTTCGGCAGGGCCAGGATTAAGGGCACTACCCAGAATTTCTGCTCCACATGGAAGCACGTTCCAGTTCAGCATGGGGCTGGTTTAGCTTGTGCATCCAGCTACAGTCCATCGTGTATGGGGTCTGCATGGCCATGGGCCATGAGGCTGTTTAAGGCCACATGACTATGGAGAGAGAGCAGGTGTGTACACAGGTGAGTGAAGGTCATGGAGCAAAGGAGCCCAAGAAGAAGTGAGGGGGAACTCTTTGTCTGGGGATGTTACCCTTCCAAGATTTTGTGCCTTTGCAGTGGCTCCAACCTCCTAGCCAATCCATTGTTCCCCAGGCTAGACTGACAGACAAGCACCTCTCCTGTGGCACCCTGACTTCACTGTGCATGTGCCCATCTCCCCCTTCGTCTGATCCCTTCCCCCAGTGATCTGCTGGGAATGGACCAGTGATTCCCTGGGTAACTTCCTGGTGAAGCTGCTCAGATGATCATGCTTATAATGCCTGGCCTCCCCTTGGCTCTCTTTCTGTTATTAATATTAAGTAGCTAATTACAATGATAACAGAACCATATTGCACCACAGCTGTAGTCAGCTGGACCTGAGATGTGACAGCCTATATTGACAGGGTCGACGAGTATACTAAGAAATTATGGTAAAAAAATATGGTTTATAGGAAGACGAGTTACAAACTGTTTTCATAACCAGCATCAAAAATACTATATAGACCAAAATAAAAAAATTAGTCTGAAAAAGAAACGTTTTTAACAAAAAAAATTGTTGGGGAATGGGTTAAGTAGCTAATTACAATGATAACAGAATCATATTGCACCACAGCTGTAGTACAGCTGTAGTCAGCTGTACCTGAGATGTGATAGCCTATATGTTTTTTTAAAAATATATTTTATTGATTTTTTACAGAGAGGAAGGGAGAGAGATAGAGAGTCAGAAACATCGACGAGAGAGAAACATCGATCAGCTGCCTCCAGCACATCTCCCACTGGGGATGTGCCCACAACCCAGGTACATGCCGTTGACCGGAATCGAACCCAGGACCCTTCAGTCCGCAGGCCGATGCTCTATCCACTGAGCCAAACCGGTTTTCAGCGTGACAGCCTATATTGACAGAGAGTGTATCCCCCTCAAAGCACAGTTCCTCTCAATCTTTATTTTTCTTACTTATATTTACTATATGTATTTTTCACACTTGTATTATAACTATTTATGTGTTTATTGTCTAATGCAGAAATTCCATAAGGAGCTTCTCATCTTTCAATATGGTTCATTAGGCATCTGTTCAAATACATTGACATCTATAATTTTATGCCTTCTTCCTGATAGCTAAAATGTTTTTATTTTTAATCCTTACCTGAGGATATTTCTCCATTGATTTTTAGACAGAGTAGAGGAGGAGGAGAGAGAGAGACATCAATGTGAGAGAGACACATCGATTGGTTACCACCAGCATACGCCCTGACCTGGGGACTAGGGATGGAGCCTGAAACCAAGGTATGTGCCCTTGATCTGGAATCAAACCCAAGGACCTTCAGTCTTCATGCCAAAGTTCCAACCATTGCTAAACTGGCCAGGGCAATATTTAGATTTTTTTTAGTATAAAATATTTAGATATATTGAGCATCTGTAAATACATTTTCCTGATAATTTTACTAATGTTAGCACATTCCCATATTTGATTGATAAATATTTAAGTAAAATTTCACAGATACAGATATTCTACCCTGCTCAGAGACCATCTACTTTCCTTTTCTTTACCTCTACTCAGCAAGTGGTATATATGCTCATTGTGCAAATCTTAATTTTATACTGTTTAAAATATATATGTATAAATCTATAGCCAGATATATTTTTTTAGGATGGATTTATACTTTATATGAAGACTGGCTATAATTGGATTTCTGTATGATATCATTTGATAAAGTGGGTCTCAACTGCATTGAATATGAAAAAAAATTATATAGTAATTTTATCCTTAATTCTTATCTAATATGTTTAGAAATAATTGATACTTTTGGAAAATAATGCAATTACATGTAAAAGAGGTATGAGCCCTTGAACATACTTTACCTATTCAAAGGTGGTTTCTTTCCAGGTATTGATATGTATGAGAGAGGAGAATTAAGAATATAAAAAATAATTTATTGTATTAAAATATGTGGGGAGTAGGGAGAAGATTGTTTTAAAGTCAGTGTTTCTCTTGATACTTTCATTCCATTCATAGAAAATTTTCCTCAAAAATATTTATTAGAAATTATCTGGAGAAGGAGGGGGCAAATAAATACTTCCTTAGAATATCTATTGAAAGCATTTGTATTCAAAATTGAGAAAGGGACAATATGTTTTTAAATAAAAATGGTAATACTCTACCACTATCACATATATATGCATGTCAAACATACCAACCCAGGCCACAATGCCCTCTTTGCTGTGTTAAATAATAACAGAAACTGTTCAAGAAAGAACAAAAGACTAAATGTTTATAACATCCTGGTTGATCACTAAGGATACTTTTCCTTGTTTAAGCCTGGAAAATGCTCTTATGGAAGTACAGCATGGTATGATCTGGGTTTGGTGAGTGATACATCTTTGTTCTGTAAGTGACATAAAAGCTATTAAGAAATCATAAGATTTCTCAAACAGGTGAAGTTTAGAACACAATCCATATGAGAGTTGAAGACATAGACAATGATTGCCTTAAAACAAATTATTTTTGTTTGCATGGTTTTTATTACTATTCCTTGGAAAGTCTAGTTATATACACCCAGTGTACAGCGTATTTCTACATCCTGGTTTAAAGAATTTGATTAAAGGTGCCTGTCACTTTATGGGGCATTAATCTGTAGCATTGTGGTTCTTTCCCTTATAAGAATTGCTGAACATCCCACGCGCAGGCACATAAATACTGAATGATGGAGTGATTCAAAATTGGATTTTGCTGGGTAGCTGAGAGAAATACAAAGGTGCAGTTGTTGACAGAGAAAAAAATGGATTGAAATAACATACCATGAAATTGATGAGGCTAGAGTGGAGGCAGGAAGGTTCTGAAAGATTGAGAGAACATGAAAGGAATAAAAAACTTGGGGTCCCTGTGCGGTGAAAGAAGAGGTCTTCTGTAGTGACTGTTAGGGAGCCTCAAATGAGGATAGCAGATAGTTGTTTCTGTGTGTGTGTGTGTGTGTGTATGGTGTTTAAGTGGCATTGTTCTTTAATTTAACTTTCCAGAAATGGAAAAATGTAGAATTAGTGAAAGTGCTTTGATGTGGCCATGAGATTGGGTGACTAAAGAGGAATAAATGAAGTAATAGAGAGAGAAAATGAGACATTTAAGAAGCTAAATTAAAACGTAGTCCATTGGGTCATCTCTGAACGAATAGTAGAACTGTGGTAGAGAGGAAACCATGAGCCAGAGCTAAAATTTATCTCTCAGAGAAAAGCAGTGACCAGAAGGTCAGTAAGTGACAGGACAGGTGGAGTTCCGTCTGGCCTCACTGTCAAAGGAAGAAGATTTTCATATGAATGTGATGTGGGAAAAGCCTGAAAGAAACACTCAGGAGAATAGAATGCTGACCATCTCACTGAAGCATGAGTCATGCAGTGTAAAAAGTGTCCACTCTGGGAAGCTCTATAAAAATCAGTGGCCCCAGGAAGGAACCAGGATCCTATTAGGGCAATAAGGTGGGAGGGATTCTTAGTAGAGTGGTCAAGGTAAAATACTTTTTCTTTTTAACATTATTTTTTAAAATATATGACTTCTACAGCCAAAAGGATCTTTTAGGAAATGTGGTGAAAAGATTAGAAGAAATGAGAATTGGGACAGGGAGAAGGAAGTACAGGTTAGCTGGAGGACAAGAAATCAGGAAAAGACAAATGACTGGGGAAGTTTATATTTTGTTTTTTGATTTAACTTAATTTTTATTGATTTTATTTTAGTGAGTGAGGAAGGGAGGGAGGGAGGGAGAGAGAGATGAGAGAAACATCCATTGGTTGCTTCCTGTACATGCCCTGGCTGGGGATCGAACCTGCTCTGGCTGGGAATTGAATGGAACCTAAGACCTTTTGGTGCACAGGACAATGCTACAACCACTGGGAAACACCAGCCAGTGAGAAAATTTATATTTCAGACCATGATCAAGACCTGATGGGTTTACTTGACAAATGGCTAATAACGGTCACCTCAGAAATACACTTGTAGATTGTGGTGGCGGACTTATTTCTAGGTGCTCAGGGTGCAGAGCGTGAGGTTAGTCATGCTGCTGGCTGTGCTGTTGATCTGGGGAATACCTTCTGGGATCCTGGGTTTTTTTTACCTGTAGCAGAATTACAGAAAGCCTGGTAATCAGCTTCCTAGTATAGACACTGAGGTCGGCCAAGCAGAATCTAGGAGGCTCAGCTTCTCCTTTGTCACTGAAGAAATATGGTTGCCAATGAGCGCAGTGAGTGTCTAGACTGGCTCCAAGTGTCTCTAGATCAGTGGTTCCCAACCTTGGCTGCACATTAGAATCACCTGGGAATCTTTTTAAAATCCTGATGTCTGGGCCTCATCCTCTGGAAATTCTGTTTCTTTGTTACTAATGTTGTGGCCTCACCCCGTAACAAAGAAACATAATTTCTGGAGGATGAGGCCCAGAAATGAACAGCAAAGGCTCATCTGTCACCTGAGGTGCTCATCCTCTTTCTGAGGAGGTCTTATAAACATCCAGCCACAGCTGCCTTTAAAGAGTGAAGGAGGGGAGAAAGAAACAGCGGACAAGGCCCTGCAAGGAACACGGTGGATATTTCTTAGTTCTCAGAGTCTTTCATTCTCTTCCACTCACATTTTATCCAAGACTAAATTAAAAAAAATAAACTAGCTTATATCCTCAGATAGAAACCAATAGCTCATAAACCAATGTGAAATGCTGGGTCTGAGGCCCATTTGGAATTCAGGTAATTTATTGGTAAGTGTAAATTTCAAGCAAGAAGGGACCTTCAAATCTGTAAATCTTCCTCATAGGGCTTATATTTGTGGAGTGTCTCCTAACTCCAAGAAGAGATTTAAAAATTATGGAAAGGATGATTTTATAGATATATACTAGAGGCCAGGTGCATGAAATTCGTGCGGGGGTGGGGGGGTGTCCCTCAGCCTGACCTGCACCCTCTCCAGTCTGGGAGCCCTCAGGGGATGTCCTACTGATGGCTTAAGCCTGCTCCCTGTGGTTCTCTGCTCTCTGCAGCGCCTGCCTGTTCCACACCACAGCAACTGCCAAGTAGGCCATGCTGGGTGCTGCCTGCAGGCGGTGCTTGCCTGCTCCTGGGTCGCTGCAGTGACGGCCAAGCAGGCTGAGCTGGGAACTGCCTCCTACCTGCTGTCAGTCTCCATAGAGGCAATGAGGTTAATTTGCATACTCATTCTAGATTAGCTGGTGAGTGTAGTGGAGGGATGGTCAATTTACATGTTTCTCTTTTATTATATAGGATATATGTGTACACACACACACACACACACACACACACACACATATATATATATATATATATTGTAATACACAATTTTTTGTTTACCATGAGGTGTCCTTAGTTTATCAAATGATTTGTAGTATTTTTAAATGTACTTTAATAACACTTTTGAATGAAATGCATGCAATGAAAGATAGAAAGTTGCCCTAGCTGGTTTGGCTCAGTGGATAGAGCGCTGACCTGTGGACTGAAGGGTCCCAGGTTCGATTCCGGTCAAATGGCATGTACCTTAGTTGCAGGCACATCCCCGGTAGGAGGTGTGCAAGAAGCAGCTGATAGATGTTTCTCTTTCATTGATGTTTCTAACTCTCTAGCCCTCTCTGTAAAAAATCAATAAAATATATTTTTTAAAAAAGATAGAAAGTTGTAAGAGATGCACATGGAATCTACAACCCTTTGTAAAGGTCTTATTCTTTTTAGGAAGAAGGGGAAAATGTTGTCAAAGATTGAGTAGGCCTCAGGGAACTTTAACTTGCATGTCCAATACTCACTGACCTTGACTGTTTTATGAGGGGTCACATTTTAGTTTTGTACAGACAAACTGTTAAACAATATCTGGAACGCATTGGAAGAAAAAGCATTTTTCTGCATTTATCATGCCCCTTCTACCCCCTGCTCAGTGATGTGTTCATTTCTTTTTTCAGCTTAGAGCAAGACAAAAGTTCAATGAGAAAGTACAGTCCATACTTCTTACCATGAGTCAGATATTTCATACAAAATTTCCCTAGCTGGAAATCTTAACTCATTCTTCAACCTACAAGAAAAAAAGGCTTTACAAAACTTTAACACATCATTTATAGATTTTTTTATTTAACTGCTTATAGTGAAAATAAAATAATCCTGAATAGTAAGTCCTCTGTATTTTATTAGTACTAAAACATTCTACAATGGAGTTTTCCTTTGTTTAGTGGGTCACTTTTATTCTCCTTATCCCCAACCTTTTAACCGTGTGTGTATAGTGATGTTTTTTTCACTTGTGTGTCTGGTTGCAAAGTTTGTTTTTGTAATAGAGAGATGTACAAACAAATGGTGTTCCCAAGTAACCAGTGTGATTTTCACTTGGGATACTGCAAATTCAATAACCCTCTAAAAGCATTTCTTAGGAACGGAAGGATAAAAGTAAAGGGATCCAATCACATTAAGTGTGCATAGTAGTCTCTGAAATCATCAAATCTTAATGAAGGAAGGGATAGCTAAAGAGTTTAGACTCTATTAAAATTTTGGTGGGAGAAAGTTTGTCTCCATTTTATTTGCAAAGACCACAGTTAGCGATGCCAGGAAGCTGCAAGAATAATTGTATATTTCTAAAGGCAAAATGTGGCTTTTGATATGCTGCCAATTGAATTCTATGTTAATCCTATGATAAGTCACAGAGTCAGAATAACCCTGACCTCAATTTATTTCCCTTGTGCATTCCTGTAATGACTTTTCAGTCCTTGGCATTTCTTGAATTTTCAGTTATATGGTGACAATAGTTTGTTTTTGCAAAGCACTTTTTCTTAAGAAGATTACATATATGTCTTCATAACATTGTATAAACCAACCCTTACTCACTGAAATTTAAAATGGTACTAAGATTGATAAAAGACTGAGTTACTGTTTGCTTCTCATTTATTTTTTATGAGAAACGAGATGTTTTTCTCCCTTCCTACATTTCTTCACCCTAAATCAACTATCCTGTGTCATCGTTCCTCAAAATCACGGAGTTCACATGCCTTTTGGTTTGAGTCAGAGAAAATTTCAAAGTAAAATGCCAACTTTGTTCCCTATCTCAGATTTGTAAGAAAAGGAGGAAATTATGAGAATCAACAGGAAGAAGGTGATCATTTACTCTAAAAAAAAATAACTTTTAAGGAATAGTCACTTACTTGAGAAGTATTTGGATGTCAGTAGTTCAACTGTGGCTGAGGTTTAGAAGACTATGAGATGGATCTCTCATCCTCTAGTTTACATGGCCTCTCTGCTAAATTAGGATTAAGTATGGCTTAATCTTAAATTAGGATTAAAGATTTGCTAATTGGGCCCCGCCAGAGTGGCTTAGTTGGTTGAGTGTCGTCCTGTGCACCAAAAGTTTGCCAGTTCGATTCCCAGTCAGGACACGGAAGGCAACTGATCGATATTTCTCTCTCACATCGATGTTTCTCTGTCTGTATATCTATCTATCATCTATCTGGCTATCTGTCTGTCTATCTATCTATCTATCTATCTATCCAGGGAAAGGAAATTCAGCCATTTGTGACAACATAAATGGACTCCAGTGGCATTATGCTAAGTGACATAAGTCAGACAAAGACACATACTCTATGATATCTCTTATATATGGAATCTAAAAAGCCAAATTCATAGAAACAGAGAATAAAGTGGTAGTTACCAGGGACTAGGGGTGGAGAAAATGGGCGTTGTTGGTCAAAAGGTATAAACTTCCAGTTACAAGATGAATAAGTTATGGGGATCTAATGTATAGCATGGTAATTGTAGTTAATATACTGTATTATGAACTTAAAAGTTGCTGAGAAAATACATCTCAAATGTTCTCATTACAAAAAAAAGAAATTAAAATTATGTGATGTGAAAGAGGTGTTAAATAATACTATGGTGGTAATTATTTGGCAATCTACAGTCGACCCTTGACCAACAAATGTTTGAACTATATATTATATATATATTATTTATTCAATCCATATACAGCCAAACTCCTACATTCCTAGGTTTTTGTATCATAGATTTAACCAGCAGCAGATTGAAATAATTTTTTTTTGATACACAGTTGGGAATACAAGGGTGTGGAGATTACCATATGCATTGTTCTACACCATTTTAAATAAGGAACTAGCACATCTATGAATATTGGTTATCTGTGGGGGAGTCAGAATTATATGCACATTTTTTACTGTACTGGGTCAGAGCCCCTACACAACTTGTTCGAGGGTACACTGTGTAACTGTAGCAAATCAACACATTGTATACCTTAAACTTACGCATGTGTTATGTCATTTATATCTCTATAAAGATGGGGGAGGGTGTAGATCTAAGGAAGGAGACAAACTCAGACATAAATATCCTGAGTCAGCAGATATATATCACAAAATTCGATGAAAGTGTTCAGTAGAAAGAACTTAATTTTACCTGGAAGGTTCTGAAAAGGCTTCATTCAGAGAGGGAGGTTTGAAGTGCTCCATATTCTTCACCCTGCTTGTTATGGCCCATGCAAATTAAGAGGGCCACTGATCACCATGCTGATTTGTCCTTTCACTGGACAATGGTGTAGTACAGAGCCACGGGCCACCCTTTCCTGAGTGGTGTGGAATGGGAACTAGACTCCTAGGAGCAATGAGTATTATGTAAGTCTATCAAATGTACTTCCTCCAGAATATAAACCAGATAGAATTGAGATAGTTGAATTATTAGTAATGAAAGGAGTTTGAGATACCGATTTAGAAAAAAAAAAGAATGCATCCCTAGCTGGTTTGGCTCAGTGGATAGAGCGCTGGCTTATGGACTGAAGGGTCCCTAGTTCGATTCTAGTCAAGGGCACATACCCAGCTTGCAGGCTCCATCCCCAGTAGGAGGTGTGTAGGAGGCAGCCAATCAATGATTCTTTCTCATCATTAATGTTTCTCTCTCTCTCCCTTCCTCTCTGAGATCACTAAAAATATATTTTAAAAATGCAAAGAAAAATGGACAGCAAAACTATTCCTCAAAACTGCCTTGCTTATTCCATAACATAAAGAGGCCTAAAGCCTCTGCTATTTGCCATCAAAAGGCATGAACTCAACCTTGTATTATATGTATGATTTACCTTTAATAGATTAATGTGCAAGACATCATTCTAAGAGACTATAGCTCCAGTAAGAGTATTTTAGAAAAGCATCATCAGTCAACACATGGAAGTCACATTTAGACAAAGGGTTCAAGGTAGAGTGAGGTGATAAAGAAAATGGAAAGGTGGTTTGGAGCAATAGTGTGGAAGTGTTTGATGAAATGTGTTCTTTATTCAATAGGTAATCACTTAAATGTTCATTTAAGGACTGTGAAGAAATAGAAGTAGTGACACAGAGGATATAGATTTTGGTTTGCCTGGCCCAGGCCAGCTTTATGCTATGGTTCAAGGAGAGGTATTCTGACTAGACTGACCATATATTTAATCCTACAAGCTGGAATATTTGGGGGTGGCCTTTCATTCTCACAAATATTCCAGTTTGTAGGATCAATTATATGGTCAGTCTAGTTAGAATGCTTCTCCTTAGGAGGCTATTTA